GAAGACCAAACATATTACCGATGCCATTCGATAACATATTACCGATGATTTCCATATTCTCCCTCGTTCTCGTTATCTGGTTCCCCCACCGTGCTTGTGACTTGCTTTTGTACGAACTGCTGATTCTGCGAACGTATTCGCAATTCGGGGGTGACGCCTGGCGCAATTACGACGAGGCTTTTCGCCGCGACGCCGCCGCCCCGGGTTTGTCTGATCGGTCAAACATGAACGTGGAGCATCCACACCGCCGCGGTTCGTGTTTCGCGTTCCCCGAGTCGCGTTGAGCATGCGGGTTCCAGCCCCCCTTCGTCGTCCTTTATTTTGCAGGTCCTGAACTAGTGGGCGTTGCACTGTCTTTGGCAGGCAGTGTCGATATTATCATGCTTGTGATCGCTTGGCATGTGGGGGGTCGCATAGACGTATTTTTTTTTGTTCTTTTACCGTCCCTGCGGAAACGACCCAGTCACACACAGAGGACATCGTAAGCGCGTCTCCTTTTTCTCCAAACGTTGATATTGTTAAGTTTTCTGTTCCGTTGTCGATTCTCCGCTGTATGATATTTATTCAGCGTGGCGTCGGTCGTGTTCGTCGTGAGCTTCATTCGTCGACATCATTGTTTTTCGGGACTGATAGAATTGTCGTGTGGTTAAGCCAATACCTACATACCTACATTTTGTAGTCTAGTCTCTTTAGTCTATCAGTAGCCAATACAATTGTATTCTAACTCGTTTGTGTTGGACTGTTGTTTTCTTTCGGTCGGGGGGTGGGGCCACGTATCTCTCCCCTTGATCTTTTTCTAGGACCTACCCCACTCCCCTTATCCTCGTTCACGATCGGCTCTATTTGCCCTCGCAATCTCGAAGCCTTTGTGCACGAGCTCTGGGAGTATCCTAGTCCCCGCAAGGAGAATGTGCTGGCGGGTATTCGCGATGGTTTCCGTGTGGGTTTCGTTCCAGAGCGTGTGGTCCTTCGTCCGTCACTCCGCAATCTCCCGTCAGTGTCTCAACACCCGGACGTCATCGACAAATATCTCTCGACGGACGTCGCTCAACGCCGGGTGCCTGGTCCTTACCCATACCCCCCCCTCGCCGCCACTGCTCTCTCTCAAACCAATCCGTTTGGGGTTTTTTTCCGAAACGTCCTCAACCGGGGAAGTAGCGCCTCATCCCTGACCTTTTCCTCTCCCCAAGGAGCAAGCGTTAACGATGGTTTACCTCAGGATCCCTTCTCTATGCGATACATTTCCGTTGACGACGCTATCAGATCCCTCGTTGTTATTGGCCCCGGCGCCCTACTGGCCTAGTTCGACGTGCAGGCTGCCTACCGTAACATTCCGATCAACGTCTCCGACCGACATCTGTTAGGCATGTACTGGCGAGACTCTTTCTATGTGGCCTTGGTGCTACCTCTTGGCCTCAGGTCTCCTCAATTCCTTTTGATGCGGTTGCGTCCGTGGTTCATTGGATTCCTTCAACAACTACCACGTTCACCAGTTGTTCCACTACCTCGATGATTTTTTTTTCCTCTTTGGGTCCCCCGTCGTCTCTCGTGTGCCAAGCCCACATCGGCTCTTCGTTACTGTCTTCAACCACTTGGGTCTCCCTCTTAACCATGAGAATTCGAGGGCCCCGCAACCTGCTTGGTGTTCTTAGGTATTGTGCTCGACTCGGTCACTCAAATTGCTAGGTCGCCAGCCGAAAAGTTCAACCGTTCCATGTCACTCCTCCAGTCTTGGTCCAACAAGCGTACTTGTCACCGTCAGGAATTAGAGTCCTTGACTGGCCACCTCCACCACGCGTGCACAGTTGTCCGTCCTGGGCGAACTTTTTTTTTTTTTTTGCGCCGTATGATTGATCTTCTGGCTCATTTTCGCAATCGCTCGCACCCAATTCGCCTTAACGTCGATTTTCGTTGGGATCTCCTCTGGTGGCTCGCTTTCTTTCGTGATTGGAATGGCATCAGCTTCTTCTCGTCGCCTGACGTATCCCAGCGTACCGACTTGTTCGGCGCGTCTGCCGCAGCATGGTCCATCGGTTTTGGAGCAATGTAGCGTTCCCATTGGTGTTTCGGTTCCTGGTCGTTTCTGTCTTCCCTACAATTCTCCTGGTCGTTTCTGTTTTCCCCACAATCCATCGCGTTTATGGAGCTTCTGCCTATCGTTGTAGCTGCGCATCTCTGGGGGGGCAAGTTGGTCACGACTACAGCTCCTGTCGATTTCAGAGGTGTCCTTTGATCCGTCGGGTTGCCTTCACCTCTTCATCAAGACGTCAAAAACGGACTCGTTCCGCCGAGGCGTGTCTCTCTCCCTCGGTGCGTCGGAAAAGCGCATCTGCGCCGTATCTGCAGTTCGCCGTTACCTTCACGTTCGGGGCAACGCTCCCGGATCACTGTTCGTGTTATCCGATGGTTCTCCGCTAACACCGGTGGTTGTCAACTGTTGGCTCCGTGCGATTTTATCCAACTTGCGAATACGTGGTATCTTACTCCAATCACACTTTTAGGATTGGCGCGGCGACAGCAGCAGCGTCTACGGGCATCTCGGATCACTTAATTAAGACATTGGGTCGTTGGTCGAGCAACGCGTACCTTCTTTCATTCGGACTCCATCGCCCGTGCTACCATCAATAGCTGCCGTGCTGGCCTAATTCGTACCGTTTTGGAGGAGGGTTCGAGTGCCTCGAACCCCTCTCTCCAGCGTTGCTGGAGTGGTGCCCTGGAGATGTGTTGTTCTCGGCACTCGAGAACAGCTAGGTTAATTAAATTAAATGTAAATACGTCACCAAGTCGTCGATACCTAATTTGTGAACGTGGCCATGACTAAACTCTCGACCCACGGTCATGGCTTCGACCGAACTTCCTCTTCAGTGGTACCACAAACCGCCAAGTCAATTATCAGATTTGCCAGTTACGATCGAAGCGAGCTTGTTAATTGGATTTATGAAATAAATGATATTAATAACGAGCTGAGTTGTTGTACTTGTTATCAGAATAAGGGGCCCCAGGGACAGCTTGGCAAATGCTAATGAGGGCATTTGCATAACCTACCTTATATAAGTTGTTTACGCCAGTAGCTCATTCTCAGTCGTGACATTTAGTCGTTCCCATCCCCCCTCACCCACGGGGGTTCTTAGTTGTTCCCATCCCCTCCTCCTCACCCACGCCCATCCGTAACCTTCCCGGAGGAAGACCGCAGCCAGCCCCGTCGTTTGGCTCGCTGCCCGCCGATTGCCCAATCTCAGTTAAGTACCTTTCCCTGTTCATGATCTGGCACCTAGCGCCGGCCTCGCTGGGTTAACGACCCTCGTTTCTCCCAATCAATCGTCTATCGCATCGTCCTTCCCGTCCTGTGTTCGCGGCAATCAGCGTCAACAATCGGCCCAAACTCGTGTGTGTGTGTGTGTGTGTGTGTGTGTGTGTGTGTGTGTCATGAGTCGTTCGTTATACAGTGTCTCTATCGGAGCGGGTCTTAGTGCCCTTGCTCATCTCCACTTCCTTAGGAAGTGTGATTGTGGTACTATAGAGGAGAGGTGTTGTTCTCGGCACTCGAGAACAGCTAGGTTAATTAAATTAAATGTAAATACGTCACCAAGTCGTCGATACCTAATTTGTGAACGTGGCCATGACTAAACTCTCGACCCACGGTCATGGCTTCGACCGAACTTCCTCTTCAGTGGTACCACAAACCGCCAAGTCAATTATCAGATTTGCCAGTTACGATCGAAGCGAGCTTGTTAATATGTGATAAAAAATCACGTTAATTTACATAAACTTTAGACAAAGTTTATTTTAAAAATTACTTCGCTTATGTACTTATCAGAAGATGGTCGTTTTTAAGCCATTTAAAGCACTTGTAGGAGTGTTTTATCAGATATAAAACGCTCGGCTACGCTCGGATGCGTGTTTTATCAGATATAAAACACTCCTACGCGTGCTTTACATAGTACATAATTTCACGAAATTAAATTTCAAAAATTATACTCCAAGCACTGACAACTTGTAATTTTTAAGATATATATGTAAAAGTTGTTGAATAATGGCTGGCTGAAACGAGTAAAGAACATTGCCGTCTTTGTGATCGAAATTTAATTGACTTCAGAATCTTTCCCCATTCTTGACATAATTATCATAATTACTGTTGGTTAAACTTAATAAATATGCATGCATGTCAGTAGAGATTAAAACGAGACTCGATAGCTCTCGAATAAAAAAAAAACGAAGCTCTAAACAAGGTGAACAACTTTCCGGAAAGGTGTTTTGCTGTCATAGCCAAGGTAAATAAACGGATTAATTTAATTTAAACTTCAAACGTTTTTGCCTTTTGAGGACAAAGTTATTTTTTCTATCTTTAAACTGACCCACCTTCATTAGTAACATTCCAGCAATAAACATACTTCCTTGACAATAACCAACTGCTTTGTCGTAAATTGAGTAAGCCTTAAAAATAACATAAAAGTATGTGAGTTTCCACTGGTCTTATATACAGTATTGTCAAATAAAGAAATATATAAAACAAAATGAAGATTTTAATCATGCATATGACATATAGCTGTATCGACCAGATGGAAAAACTGAGTATACTGTATCTATTTGGGGCCGGATGCATACGAAAATTTTATGCTGTGGATAAGTCTTATCCAATGGATACAGTAAATCTTCTATCCGATTGTGGATAGCGCTATCCGGCTTTTACTGGCTTATTTCCAAGATTTTTACCACACCTATAGCTTATCTGGCATACACGCAGACGCTCTCATTTCCTGCGCGCGTATACGCTTGTTTTTAGGATATAAATGCGCGTTATCAAAATGTGTATAAACCTTAGGTGTCCTCGATAACTGAACAAAGATTTACAGACCTTAAAATATCTTTTACAGGGCCGTCTGACAAAATGTCCGATAACTTTGAGTTTGGGGACATATATGTATGATGATGTCCGATGACCTTTAGTTCAGTTTGGCTCGGACGTAAGTCGAGTGACACAAATTAATATCGGTACAATGTATAAATTCTGAACGGTAAATGTTGTTAATGTATTAAATAATTTGTGTCATTCATACTTATTTCCAAGCTAACAATAACTTGCTTGCCAAGAACAGCAATACGACTTCGACAACTTAAGCTTGATTACATTAAAACAACATTTCCGGTTCACTTTTTATACATTACTCTGATTCTCCATTTAACATACGAGCCTCTAGTCCTGGACTAGGATACATCTTGATTTACGTCGGACAAAGCTACAGTTCGGTCGGACACCAATACACTCGGGTTGGACAAGCAGTAAACCTCAGTTTTACTTACACGGGTAAAAATTGAGAAAATCAACAACTTGTTCCAGGTTGATATCAACAGGCGTGAACAAGGTTGTGCGGTCCACTATGAGGGCATGTTGTAAAACATGGACTGGACCTTGGACTGGACTGGACTTGTAAACTATGGACTGGACTTGTAAAACATGGACTTGTAAAACATGGACTTGTAAAACATGGACTTGTAAAACATGGACTTGTAAAACATGGACTTGTAAAACATGGACTTGTAAAACATGGACTTGTAAAACATGGACTTGTAAAATATGGACTTGTAAAACATGGACTTGTAAAACATGGACTTGTAAAACATGGACTTGTAAAACATGACTTGATCTTCGAGCGAATTTATTATCGATGATATGTTTCTCTATATGTAGGCCTACACCTATAGAGAGAAACAGGTAAAAATACACGAATTATTCTGCGAGTGTGCTCGCTTGCCCCTTGCCCCCACCTTATTTTGCCCCCGGAATTGGACAGACAATAACGAAATAGATCGGACCGTGTCAACATAATTTATATAACTTCGAAAATATTTAATCCTTTTTTGCATATCGATGTTAATTAAATAGTTTTTTAACTAACATTTTGACAAAAACGTCCACTATTTGCATGGCATGCATTTTCTATCATAGAATGTTCTAATAAAGCTAAATTCGGTTGCAACTGAATATGAATTTCGATAGACATAGTTCACTAACTAAACAAAACAAAACGAAACTCATAACAAAACCGTTCATTGTCCTTAGCGCCTAGCAAATATTACTAGTAATCCATTATTAAATATTCAATCGTATCCGTGTGCATGAAAGGAAAGCTTAGCTGTAGTAATGTCCGCAAACGGAATTTGCCAACACACTAGTCAATCAACTGATCGAGTCAAGATCTATATACATATGTTATGATCTGGGAACTCGATGATGAATTTCAGTCAATGATTGTCAAGGCCAAGAGATCGAATTTTTGCGATTGAACTATTATTGCAATTATTCAAAATTTGATCATTACGTTATTTTTTAAAATTTTGGATTTGGTAGAACTGCAGTCATTTCTTTAACGGCTTACGATAAATATCCCTCCGTGCATATACATTACATAGTATGGTAGATTTAATAATGCGTATCACTAAGTCTGAGACAAGCCCTCATTTCCCAAAACTCTATGGTACCGGCCGGGTGTCCCTCCCAAATTTTTTTGAACCTTAGTTTAACTGATATTCGACGAGAAAAATTGTTTGACCCTTTTTTGAAACTCCTGATAAAAAATTTACCTCCCCTCCCTCCCCCCACTCGTCAACATTTTCGGGAAAAATAGGACCCCCGAAACAAAAATTTGCCCCGGGCCCCCGAATTTCTCTGATAGTCCCTGGTTTTAATTAATATAACTCAAAAACTATAAAAGCTATTGAGCTGAAATAAACTCCATTGCATGCAGGAAGGGCTAACTTAGATTGTGATATATATAACACTAAATTATCGGTACGATATTGACGGAGATACAAGAATTTGATGTTGCAAGGCGCTTTCAAAATTCGCGAAAATATGAGAAAAATCGGCTTATTAAATTAATTGGAAAACACTTGCCACTTTCCTTGGAAACTTTTTAACTTCAGTGATCAGTAACTTTAAGTGTAGGCTTTTCCATTGCAAACTTACTTTTAAAAATAAAAATTACACTAAAGAATGCTTTCATTAGGAATAAAATAAAATATAATAATTAAGTTCCATTCCTTCAATGGAAACTGAATCAGTTCCATTTCCCTTTAATTACAACATTCTAGCTATGACATGCAGAAAATGCATGCCATGCAAATGAAATATAAGTTAAATTATGTTGACTCGGTCCAATCTATTTCGTTATTGTCTGTCCGATTCCGGGGGCAAAATAAGGTGGGGGCAGGGGCAAGCGAGCACAGCAGAATAATTTGTGTATTTTTACCTGTTTCTCTATATATAGGACAGGTGTACATATAGAGAAACATATCATCGATAATAAATTCGCTCGAAGATCAAGTCGTGTTTTTCAAGTTAGTATTTTACAAGTCCGTGTTTTACTGTTCTACTGCGCGAATTTTAATACATGTATTAAGGTATATTGTCGACATTTTGTAGGTGAAAAGAATTGGCTAGTTTACATTGTTCATTATATTTAACAAATATAAAACATTTTCCGTGTTGATATACAGTTATATCAACACGAGTGGAATTGGGAAAACGAGAAATTGTATGGAAACACGACGCCCGAAGGGCGGAGTGTTTTCATACAATTTCGAGTTTTCCCAACTTCCACGAGTGTTGATATAACTATATATCAATACGGAAAATGTTTTATATTTTTTTTATAATATAGCAATGTCAAAAGCCCGAAGGATAAGAAAAATTTCCGTGTTTACAAGCGGTGGAAAATTTCCCGTGTTGACATTGAGTTATATCAACACGGCTCTTAGCCAATCAGCGTTCAGAATTTACAAATGCTATATTATAATATGAAATATGATACTAGTTAAAATTCGCGTCGAGCTAAATGTTATTGTATTAGGCAAATGAGAACCATACAATAAATGTCTTAGTTCTTGTAGGTATTTTGAAGGCACGCTTTATCTTTAATATAGCTACCACAAAGCGCTTGGCGCACCAACTAGTAGCTACTGCGCGAATTTTAATACATGTATTAAGGTATATTGTCGACATTGTGTAGTGAAACTGTCAAACCTTTAACTTTTCCTTGTTTATATTTTGTTTATATTATATTATATTGTGAACTAAATGTTATTGTATTAGGCAAATGAGAACCATACAATAAATCAAAATAAACTGTCGAAACTTTAACTTGTCCTTGCTTATATTCCACTATATTGTACAAATTCGCGTCGGGTCCAAATTTTGGGGTTTTCGAGTCGTTTAATACAACATATTGATTGTATAAATCCGCCGGGTCGGCCAAATTTTGGAAGCCAAATTTTAGAGTCGTTTAATACAAAAATAAAAACATTAATTCAACACGCAGAAAAGTCCAGAGTGCGACAAAAATATGAACACAACTACACCACGGATGTTTATGACTCTACAACGTATATCTATAGACAGTTGTTTATTAGTTAAAAAGTCAAACTGTCGAACCTTTAACTTGTCCTTTGTAAAATTCGCTGGATCCAGATTTTGGGGTTTTCGAGTCGTTACACAAAGAAAAACATATTAATTCAACACGCAAGAAAGTTCAGAGTGCGACACAACGTAAAATCCATAGGAAACTGGCACAACTCTTTGAAAATTCAGCGAAACTGTGTGAAATATATTCTGATCACTCAGCCAAAAGGCGCAATTTTGAAACTGGACTGAATATATCAAGGGAACACAGCAGTCCGATATTTGACTTCTTTATTTAATAAACTATAAACATGATCGTTCACTTACTTGTTTTTTGGTCTTTCTATATGCATATTTTTATGTGATTCCCCGCTTTAATATTCATATATTCATATAAAATACAGCGTGCGATTCGTTGGCAAATCAAAGCAAATTCAAAATTGTTTTCAAGCGTATTCCCGCTTTAATTGGTATAGCGGGCGCGGCTGTTTTCTTGATTTCACCGAAGGAATTCCGAAGGAATTCCGAGGGACAAGACGAAGGGGGAAAAATAAAGGGGGAGTGAAACTTCGGTCAATAAGCCAATCAAAAGCCAGATTTGGTGGTTTCGGATTCTCTCGATGCTCGTAGTACGTTGCCTGGTTACATTCGTCAAATGGCGGGAACTTGATCCATTGTTTCATTCACAGTGTGAAGGTCTACTGGAAACGTCTTTGAGACAGTTTTACAAAAGCGAAATACAGCAAACTATTCCCTGAGATGTTAAGTTTAAATCAACATAAGGTCGAAATGTTAGTTGACGAAGGATATAGTGTATTTGTTACAGGAAAAGGTGGTAGTGGAAAGTCATTTTTCCTTCGTAATATAATTGAGAAGCTTCGGCGAAGTGGCGATCATTGTTTTGTTACAGCGCCTACTGGGATTGCGGCCACAAATATCGGTGGATCGACGGTTCATTCCTTCGCTGGGATCGGAACTGGTTCAAAGTCAGCTCACGAACTAATCGCCACAATAAAGGCAAACGAAGAAGTGCTTGCGAGATGGGAACAGTGCAAAGTACTGGTCATTGACGAAGTGTCCATGTTGAGTCGAGAGCTGTTCGAGAAACTCGAAATGATAGCTAGATGCTTGAAGAGAAATGCGAAACCATTTGGCGGAATTCAGTTGATTCTCTCGGGAGATTTCTACCAGCTAAGACCAGTCATACAGAGGGATGCAAGTGATAAAGAAGTTTACTGCTTTGCTAGTCCTATGTGGAATTGTTGTGTGGATATTTCGGTATTCTTTGATGAAAACTATAGACAGCATGAACCTGAATTAATACACCTTCTGGAAGAGTTTCGTATGTGCGGGTTATCACAACGTTCTCATCAATTTATAGAAGAATCTCTTACACGACCATTAGACTGTAATCCTTTAGATGTTGTCCGATTGTATTCGCACAGGGACAATGTTTCGCAAGCAAATGATGAATGCCTGGCACTCCTAGCAGGTGAGCCACACCACTATTGCTCAGATGATTCTGGGAATGTCAATTCACTAAAAAAGTGTTCTGCACCAAAGAATTTGGCAGTTAAACTGAATGCTAGGGTAGTTCTATTGAAGAACTTGAGCATCGGATTGGTTAATGGGTTACGTGGTACTATCCATTCATTTGTAGATGGTTTTCCATTTGTTGTGTTTGACAATGGCAGTCGTAAGTTAATTAGAGAAGAACTTTTCACTGTTGAAGATGAGTGTACTGTTGTGGCAACTAGGAAACAAATACCATTGGACCTTGCTTATGCAATGACCATCCACAAGAGTCAGGGTATGGCATTTCCACTCCTAGATGTAGATTTGTCTACAGTGTTTGAAGCTGGACAAGCTTATGTTGCTGTTTCCCGAGCGACAACTATTCATGGTCTGAAGATCTCTTCATACAGAGAGAGAATGCCACAGGTTTCTCAACTCGTCATTGACTTCTATGCCAATGGTGTGGTTATGGCCAGTGACCTGAATGTGGATGAAATTGTGCATTCAGAGAAGAAGCGTGACATAACAACCCTCTCTTTAGTCAGCATTGATAAATGCATATCGGTTTCTAGCACTGCAAAAGAGCCTAAGCCATTTGTGGTCACGGAACAGTTTTTGTCACATAAGCTACCTCAAGGTGTGATGGACAATGTCCACAAGCTGGTAAAGAAAGAATCGGAGATCAGCGATGACGTTTCAAGTGTGTTGAAAAAGCTGAACTTGAAAGAAAACGAGCAACATGAGTTGTATTCTGACTCAGAGATGTGTTTGGAGGATTATTGCACCTGGCTGTGGCAAAGTTATGAGCAGATCCACTCTACTGACAAAAGTGGAACATTAATTGACAGAAAAAAATTTTCTGGTGTTACAAAGCAGCTTCATAGTCTGTACAGATCTTCACAGTTACTCCAGAAGTGGAAAGATTGTTCAAAGTCAGATGTAGACATTGGAATTGGTGGAAAGGATCGGAAAGCTGCAATAGTGTATGCTAGAGCTCTGTATGCAGAATTTGTTAAGCAACAAGCTGCCAACACACGAAATGACTATTTCAATGACCCCATGCAGTTTGAGGAAGGCCCAGTCCAATCCACTACAAAGGAAGCAAGTGGCAAAGTCAGAGATATTAGTG